ACAGCTGGAAGGAAAGTTCCCAAATTGGTCAAAACGAAACGAAAAATCGTTTTTGCGAAATCCGGCTTCATTTGAAAGTCGCAATTATAATTCATGCTGTTTATTAAAAGTAATAAATAAATAAATAAAACAAATAAGCAAAAAATGTGAAAACTAGCCTAGGCCTACACAAACTACAGCTAAGCTGACCTACATAAAAATACAAGTAGTATAACCGCCCCACCCACAAGCCGCTTTCTTTGCGCTGCACAAACTTTCCAAATCATTCACGTTTTTGTCCCGCTTCCTTCCCCCTTAAAGTTTCTTTATCTTCTTCGTCTCCGAATGGCAGAGGCAAGCATTTCTTGTCACCGTCTTAATCCAACTGCCATAGCGATTGACGCGTGCGTAAACGCCTGGAAAGCCAGCCTTGGCACAACCCTCGCCCCAAGACACCACGCCGGCAATTTGATGTTCTCGGGTACCTGGCGCCACAACGTGCAGCGGTCCTCCACTATCGCCCTGGCAGGAGTCCTTCTTGCCCTCATCGAATCCAGCGCAGAGCATGTTGTCTGTTATGCGTGTTGGGCCATAGCGTGATTTACGACAGTCCTCTTGCGACATAATGGGCACTTGAACTTCCTGTAGAGAAGAGATAGAGAAAATATTTACGAACAATTGCATTTTGAAATAATTTTTAGAATCAAGAGAAATATAACTAACTGATCATAAAGTTAGTGTAATTGAAAGTGAAACGACGGTGCTGGCTTAATACACCATCTAATGTTCAAAGAGAACACGAAAAGAAGGGAGAAAGACATTGCGTCTCATGTGTCAAATTTTTTTTTGTGAAGGTTTTTCAATTCACTTTGTGGAGTTTCACTTCAATCCAAATCCTCAACAAAGAAGCCTACACCGAACCTTTATCCTCTACTCAACATCCAAGACGTGGCACCAGCATGGCGGGACACCTAATATACAAAGCTTTAATCTCTTCCATTGATTTAAAGTATACATGCTTTATTTATAAAAACGTAGCTCTGGTTTCTGAATGGTCTAGTATTTTTCCAAGGCAGTTTAAAAAATATGTATCCGCTGTGTATGTGCACCGGTGAGTCAGGAGATAGAGATGCCCTTTGTAACAATAAACTTTGAATATTTTACAGGCTGGTTAGTGAGGGAAACTTCTGTACTCAGCCTAATAGTCTTAAAGTTTTCAGAGTAATGGTCTGATTATGCATACTTCGCATAACTTCGCACAACTTCGCATAAACTTCAAACTGTAATTTCGTATGTACTTTGTAAGTATTTTGTATGTATTCCATTATCCAGAGATTAGCAGCACTTTTAATAACATAGCGATCTGTTGATTTTAGATTTTGCTTCACATTTTCTTAAGATACATTTTTATTGCACTGGTACAAATGGTTGTGCGAAGTATGCATAATCAGACCATTACTCGTGACTTGGAGCTAGTAGGGAAAATGAGGCCAAGTTTCATTTAAGCGGAAATCCCAGTCACTTCCCCTGTCACTTGCAAGCGTATTTTAGAAGAATTGGCCTATGCCCTGGCAAATGGAGAATGGGTATACAGACCCACATCACGAATCTCCTGGCTAGACTGACCGAGGCAAAATTGTAAAATGACTCGAACTGTATATGATTTATTCAGAGAGGATCAACAAAATACTATTGGAGCTTCAACCGGCTCGGGATAGCATTTCACAAACGCTGCAGTAGCTGTAAACAGAAAATTGTTCATCATCTTACAGATTGCTGAGAGGATCACCCGAAAGGTTTACAACCCATAACCTAAACTAAAGAACTGAGAAACTTGAAAAACAGAAAGTCACGTTATTTTAGA